TAGGGTTCGTATGACCGGGGAACGATGTACAGTAGAGTCCGTAGATTGTGTACACCCGACACGCTGAACGACGAGATCGATCTAATAAACAAAGTGTTTCAGTCCGGTGGCTACTCAAAAGCGTTTGTAAAACGACATTGCACTGTATACGAACCAAAAGAACCAACGATATCCGTCCCGAAATGCAAGTTTTCCCCACAGCCGCCATTTAAGGGTGATGATCTAGTCGAGCCGTCTCAAATCGGGAATCAAACAGCCATATCATGCCACCGATCCTGTTATACGTTACACAAGCCGATAACCCTCCGTCCCCCCAGTCAGGCAGCCGTTACCTCCTACACATTTCACGTGTGTGTTCGGTCACCTAGCTAGGCCAAACTGAACGTCAAATTCGACTGTGAGTGACTGAACATGTCCCACGGTGGGTGGACTAGTGCGTTCTCTGTGATCCTATCCAATTCAATTCAGGTTTACCACAGTTTGCTGAAGCAATTGCGATTCAAAGATGGAAGCCTATTTTGTGTAAGTAAAAGCAGTTTTTCGTCACCCTGATAGAAACCATGACAATAATGAACTTATTAACGGTAATTTTATCAATTCATTGTGGTCGTCAATATTATGCAATCTGGATACAAATTGTGCAGCGTACACCTACTGTATTGTCTATTCAAATACCTAAGATGGCACGTTTGTATGTGTGTGCTGAATAACGGTTTGAGCTTTTCTCCAGTTGCATTGCAACCAAAAAACGGTTCTATCAACCAATGTTCATCTTAGACGGCATCCACTGAAATTGACACTCCAAAAAAGCCGTTTCAACTGCAGCCGCCATTCGTTTGCAGGACATGGAACTCTCGACCACCTCACGCGGTCAGTGAGCCAACATTGGTATCTTTAAAGCGTCAGCTTGATGATGCCCTGGAAAAACATTATGTTTCAACACTCAACTACACAATATGTTCTCATGTGCTCGTCAAGAACATTACATTACTCTTTTACTTACACGGACTAGCTGTGATCTTGTGAATGATGCTCCGAACCCAAAGCGTAAGCAGCCGATGAAACGTGAATTTTTGCGTGTTTCGAGAAACGGCGAGATTGATAATCAGGAAGTCAATTTTTTTTGCACAATGTGTGCTCCCATTTATATAGGAGAGTGAATCGGGGTTTCGGTTAAAATGTGACCGAGAGAACAAGCAAGACCATTCGCGGTAGGATACCAGTCCATATGAGTTTGTGACACAAGTCGACTTGAATGTCACGTGGCCACTCTGAGTTGCACTTTAGTGGCACGCCAATGCGAATGACTAGACCTGACCTGAATTTGACGAGGAAGAAGCAAGTGCTGGTCTGATTAAGTGCAGGCAGATCGATTTGGGGGCCTGATAGGTCAGATTGTCATTTTGCGATGAGTTGTATCGGTGGGACTGTTTGAAATGTAAAATTTGTTTCCACAGATGATAGACTGACCCTATGCCGTTCATTGATTTCGGTCTTATTCACATATTCGCATATCAAATCGATGAACCGTCTGAGAGAGAGAGTGACGAACAAACAATGTGCGCATGCTTATGAATTGTCAAAGTTGTATGATGTGTGCAATGACACTGAGGCCAATCATGGGGTTTGTACTGAACTCAGAGTTTTCTGCACAACAGGCTCAATTATCAACAATGATAAAAGATCTCAAGTACAAGGTGTGGAAATCCACTTTTTATATCATGCACTTCGTGGCAAATTGATCGCAGTGTTCCGGGAACGGGGGTATGAGCGAGCAATGAGAAAACCCCTTTTTAGACCACCGAATATTACATGAAGACTGTCTTTATACTGCTAAATACACGGTCTCTCATGTTTGATCATCCAAATGCAATTTCTCGTGATGTTTTCCTATCGCAATGTTCAAACTATACGCGCACAACTGTTTCTGTTCAATGTGGATTATTGTGTTCAACTTTCACACACTACAAAAAGTTGTTCTCTCTTAAACGCGGTTGCCTGAGGTTGCTGCTGAAATTCTTCGAAAAAATTTAAACTAGGGTTTTCGGCATGGCGGTGGTGGTTGGGAACTGAGGTTCGCGTGTTACGAAATAGCAACATTGACTTCCTTGTGGTGTGAACTTAAGTCTTATCCTGTCGGAGAATTATATTTCTTCCAAGGGCTTTAAGGTGACAGGTGGTTGGCGTCACTCTCTGTGCTTTTCCTCATTTCAAGTGATTTATTAAGCCCATCACAATCTTAGCTGTCTATGACTGGTGGCATTCTTTTAGGCTTCTTTATATATACTTGTACACTAGATTTTTGGTATCTTCAAGTGGCTGTTACAACTTCCGGTCACTCAAATTTAGACACGACATTGTTTTCAAATCTGTCTTACTACAGTTTTCTGGTATGACGTAGTCCGTAACAACCGTCGTTTGCGCCTATTTTGATGCTCTTTTCTTTATCCTTTGAGGTGAGGAGAGAATGAGATTGTCAGGAAATTCACAATTTAGAGTACATTTTCACCGCACATTGTCACATACCTATCAGATAACACTTGCGAACACTTGATATCTCACACACAACCTTCAAAAACATCACTCTTGCGCTGTGGTGTGACATTTTTGATTACCGTTTGTTAGATCAATATGGGAGAAGTAAACGGAAAATTTACATGCTTGGAGCACCGTCGAAATCAAAATATGGCAAACGAATAGATGCATGGTCGCCACTGTTTACGGAACTCCACCATATAATCCAACGTCATACGATCTATGTGCTTGAGATCCGCAATCAAGGTTCTTCTTTCCTCGTGTAAGGTCTTATAGTGACCACTTTTAGCCCACTGTCTGATTCGGCAAACACTGAACGCCAAGGAAGTCTATCCGATGACATGCGTAACACATGCCCAACCACAGCAACCTATCGCGATCTAGCAATGGCGTCGTTGTGTGCTCTAGATTACTCAACAGTTTTCTCCTAAACACCGCACCACACATCCCCAGCAGACTAATAAAATGCAACGTGTCATAAGGGCCATATCTCTCTGTACCACTCAGGATAACAGGGTGAAAGATTGCAGCAAACCTTGAATATACAACCGAATGCAGCAGCTTGTTTTCAATCGGCAACCTAACTTTCGGTGTGCGTATGGGCTGACCTAATTAGGGACAGATTTTTCGACTAAAAACACGCTCCTGTCGAGTTGGTGACAAACCCATCTCTATTACAAAGAAGCGGATCGATCTTTCGTAGGAACCCAATCTTATCTTTACGAGAATAACTCCTGCGTGAGGACGAGTAAGTCTTTCTGATAATAACTACCCGTGTGTTCAGCGACAAAGTCGGCACAGGGTG